TAGCGCATGCCTATAATTCTGGCTACTTGGAAGGCTGAGGTGGAAGGATTGCCGGAGCCCAGCAGGTCGAAGCTGCGGTGGCCGGGAGCGGCCACTGCACTCCAGTCTGGGCGACAGAGTGAGATACCAACACACAAAAAAAGAAATTGTGTTGATGGCCAGGAGCAGTGGCTCACACCTATAATCACAGCACATTGAGAGGCTGAGGTAAGAGGATTACCTGAACCCACGGGTTCAAAACCAGCCTGGGCAACTTGGCAAGACTTCATCTCTACAATAAATAAAAAAATTAGCCAGGCATAGTGGCATGTGCCTGTAGTTACAGCTACTTGGAAGGCTGAGATGGAAGGATCACCTGAGCCCAACATGTCGAGGTTGCGGTGGCCATGAGGATGCTGCTGCACTCCAACCTGGGCAACATAGTGAGACTCCAACTCAAAAAAAGAAAGTGGGAGAATGTTATCCACAGAGGCTACCTGAAAGAGTTTGTAATGCTCACCATTTACTGATTGTTCATAAGGGAAAGAGAACTGGCTTTTGTGGGCATAGTATGCCAGAAAAACTACTTATAATATCTCATTTAATCATTGCAATAATCCTATGAGTTAGGTATTATTACTCTCACATGTCAGCTAAAGAAGCTGAGACTCAGAAAGCTGAATTAGTTTGTCCAAATTCAAAGGTAATAAGTGGCAGAGCCAGTATTTAAGTTCAGGAGTGACTGTCATGTCTCTAATTCATTTTCTATGGCTCTAAACTTCCTTTAATAGAGGTCTATCTATGGAGGACCATGCCCCTTGATATTAAGAGTAAAACTTTGTGAGACATGAAAATTCAGGACTCCTACTGTCATTATTATCATTTCACTTATCTTCAGTTTGATGAACTTTTTGATAAGGTGAACACAACACTAATACCATATTTCTGTGTAGTCAATAGTCCTATCTTGTCATCACACCCAGTCCTCACAATTGTGTATTGATACAGTAGGCCCAGATCATTATCCCTTTTTTTGTTTTTTGGTTTTTTTTGAGTTGGAGTCTCACTCTGTCGCCCAAGCTGGAGTGCAGTGACATGCTCACAGCCACCGCAGCCTCGGACCTGCTGGACTCAGGTGATCCTTCCACCTCAGCCTTCCAAGTAGCTGGAACTACAGGCATGCACCACCATGCCCAGCTAATTTTTTTATTTATTGTAGAGATGAGGTCTCACCAAGTTTCCCAGGCTAGTCTTGAACCCGTGGGCTCAGGCGGTCCTCTCACCTTAGCCTCCTGTTATTCCATTTATACATGAAGAAACTGAGACCCAAAGGGGGAAATGACTTACCAAAGTTAATATTGCTGACAAGTGGCAGGGCCAACACTTGACTCCAAGTCTTGTGTTCTTTTCACTGCAGCATGTAGACCTGCTGAAGCTGATAGGAGTAAGTAAAGACTCTACAATAGTTGTTCTCAACCCAGGAGATGTTGCTCCTCAGGGGACAATTTATAATGCCTGGAGATAATATTGACTGTCACCACTTGGGGAGTACTATAGCTATCCAGAGGGTAGAGACTAGAGATAAACAGGCCAGCCCACAACAAAGAATTACAGGGTCTAAAATGTCAGTAGTGCCGATGTTGATAAATTGTGTTCTAGAACAATTAGATTTCATGTCTTATTTCTCCAGAACAGGTGAAATAGCCAAGATTAACCTCCAAAGCATACCCAGTGATGAGCTTGCTTCTTTTAGAATGGGCTATTCTTCAGTAGCAGCAAATATTTACTTATTACCAGGTTTTATTCAGAGTATTGTGTTAAGCATGAGTAGGGATACAGAAAGGCATTAGACATAGTCTATTTGCTCAGGGAATTTAGAAACATCTGGAGGAAGTGAAGGGGATCTGGTTACTTTGCTCCTGGTTGCTACTGTATGCAGTGGTGACTATACTCATGGACTGCTCTGATTGAAGTGGTGCTGCTGGCTTAAGTGAACCCTCCCATAGCTGACTCTTCCTTCCCACAGTTATGCGATGCCTACCAAAACCATGGAGGTGTTGAGGCTGCAGGACCAAGGCAGCAAAATGTTCCTGGACTCAGTTCTTACCACCCATGAGCGAGTGGTTCAGGTAGGCACTCCAGGAGAACCCAAAAGGTGTTTTCCTCTCCTGGCTCCTCTCTGTATTCATTTTTCCTCCTTTTCTTATGCTCTTTGCCTGTTCCTTGAATGATAGTGTTCTCCAGGGTTCACTTCTTGACCCCTCCATCTCTCCTTTTATGTCTTCCCGCTATGTAGTCTCATTCATTTCCTTGGCTTTGGTTACCGTCGTAACATACTGATAACCCCCAAATACATATATTCCCCAGATATACATTTATATGTAGATGTGTAGGTGTGTGTATATATCTAATGCATATGTGTGTGTGTGTGTGTGTGTGTGTGTGTGATTTCTGATCTGTTACTCAAGCTTCCAACTCAATGTATGCAAAACTAATTGTAGAGGGACTGATTTTCCTCTTCTTCTACAATCCTCCCCACCTTTGAACTTAATGCATGACACTTCCTTGTCCTTTGCTATCCATTCACTCACCAAATTCAATAGCTTCCACCTCCTGAAAATCTTTTTTTTTTTTTTTTTTTTTGAGTTGGAGTCTCACTCTGTCTCCCAGACTGGAATGCAGTGACCACTCCCGGCCACCGCAGCCTCGACCTGCTGGGCACCGGCGATCCTGCCGCCTCAGCCTTCCAAGTAGCTGGAACTAGAGGTGCGCTCTACCACACCCGGCTAATTTTTTTTTTTTTTATTGTAGAGATGAGGTCTCGCCAAGTTGCCAAGGTGGGTCTCGAACCCGCGGGCTCAGGCATTCCATTCACCTCAGCCTCCCAAAGGCACAGGATTACAGGCTGAGCCACCGAGCACGGCTCTGAAAATCTTTCATATCTTATCCACTTCACTTTCCCCCCATACCAAGTGATCATGTCATTTCCTGCTTAAAAGCTCTCAGTGGCTTTCTTTTAGCTCTAGCAATTGTCCTCTGGTTTTTTTTTTCCTGAAGATTCAGTTGGGTGACAACCACACCACCACGAGGGTGCTAAGTTATTAAAAATTACAGCTTACCAGCTTCAACATTATAAAGCTATTTATAACAGGCTTTATTAAAATATAATGGACATATCAAGCAATTTACCCATTTAAAGTATACAATAAAATGGTTTTTAGTATAGTCAATGAATTAGGCAACAGTCACTGCAGTCAATCTTGGAACATTTTCAACATCCCCAAGAGAAGTCCTATATCCATTAGCAGTGACTCTTCTTTCCTGGTCCCTCCAACTCCTTGTAACCACTAATCTACTTTCTGTCTCTATGGATTTACCTCTTTGGGGCATTTAAATGGAATGGAATTGTACAATCTATGACCTTTTGTGTCTGGCTTCTTTCACTTAGCATAATGTTCTTAGGCTTCTCTATATTGTAGCATGCATTGGTATTTCATTCCTTTTTATTGCCAAGTAATATTCCATTGAATGGGCATGACCCTATTTTTGATCAAAAATAAATAAATAGTGGGGAGAGGGGAAGGGAGAAAGGCAGAGGGGAGGTGGAACAAAAAATAAATAAATAAATAAATACAATCAGGAATTTGTGATTCATCTTATGACAGATCTGATTTGCCACTGAGGCCCATAGGATCATTAGAATGCTTTAATTGGCACTCAGGTGATTCTTCATGATTCTCCTCCTGTTTTTCCTCTTCATATCCCATTTACTTCAGCCACATGTGGAATTAGTTTTAAGTCCCTAACACTGTTATGCCTCCACATTTTACCGAATGCTTTTTCCTCTGCCTATCTCTCCACACTACTGTGTTTTTTCTTTGTTTTTTGAGCCAGAATCTCATTCTGTTGCCCAGGCTGGAGTTCAGTGGCATACTCACAGCTACCCCAGCCTCGACCTGCTGAGCTCAGGGAATCCTTCTACCTTAGCATTCCAAGTAACTGGGACTACGGCCTGTGTCACCATGCCCGGCTAATTTTTTGATTTATTGTGGAGATGAGGTCTTACCAAATTGCCCAGACTGGTCTCAAACCTGGGGGCTCAGGCAATCCTCTCACCTCGGCCTCCCAAAATTCTGGGATTATAGGCGTGAGCCACCGCACCCGACCACACTACTGTTGAATGCTCCCAGTTTAACCTTGTTTTTCTTCAAGACTCTACCCAGATATTATCTCTTCTGGAAAGTTTTTTCTAAATCTTCCCTGATTAAGTTGGGTAGGTATTTCCCTTATGGGTCCTCTTGGCCCCCTGCCTGCCCTTCTAACATATATCTGATTCACCTCTGGATTCTTAGCACAGCATCTGATAGCAGTCAGGTCCTCGTCTATATATGGGCAGACCTGAGTTGAATCAGAAAGTCATCCTGGACTTGATAACATGTTGGTCCAGTTATGACATCCATTGTCTACAGGAGCAGATGTTGACAGTGACCATCTCAGCAAGCAAATACCTTGGCAGATGGCAAGAGAAATCCTGTAGAAGCTAGGTTCAGAAAACAGCTTTTGGTATTAAACCTCTCCTGGAACTGGGGCATTTGAACCCGTGCCACATTGGCCCAGTCACCTAGTTTTCATTTCCTTCCCTTAAAGTATCTTCTTTCATTTTGCAGATCAGTGGTTTGAGTGCTACATTTGCCGAGATTTTCTTGGAAATAATCCAAAGCAATCTTCCTGAAGGAGTCAGATTGTCAGTAAAGGAGGTAGGTGCTAGTTTGGGAAGAGGCCCCTTGCTGGCCCTACTTGTGTTCAAAATAAGGATAAGAACATTTGGACTTGGTTTTAGAAACATCAGAGAAACGTGAGTAATGCAGCCCAGATAACAATCAGGAAATTTTTGCAGTCTGATGGTACCATGATCATTACTCTGGCTCTTCTGAGGGACCAGGGATGATGCTTTGTAGACCATTAGGGCTGACTTTTATCACAGCATCCTCATGTTAGGGGTAAGCTCATGACACCTCAAAATTCTCTTCTTTCAGTCAGTTGTATAGCAGGAAGAACATGGTTTAAGAGTATACACAGTGTAATAATCAGAACACAAATAGGAAAATGTACTTTAGAGAGAAAATTCCCGGACCTTCTGATTGGTAAAGAATGCCAGTCAGAAAGATGTTTGGTCAGGCATCGGAAACTTGTAAAACGTTGGAAATCTCAACTAAATACTGAGTATTTGGGTCCAGTTGCCAAGATCATCCCTCTTATGACACAGATACATCAGTTCATTTTAGACTGGTACCATTTGCTTCATCCAGCTCCACTTGTTCTAAGTTCGTGCTTGTCAAGCATCTTCTGTTTGTTAGTTGGTTTTCACATAGATCTGTATACAGGGACAGAATGTGCTGGTCATGTGGACTTAAGCTATTCCAATCCTGGCTGGGCACAGTGGCTCACGCCTGTAATCCCAGCACTTTGGAAGGGGGAGGTGAGAGAATTGTCTGAGCTCAGGGATTTGAGATCAGCCTGGGCAACTTGGCGAGACCTCGTCTCTACAATAAAATTTTTTTTAAAAAGTAGCTGAGTGCAGTAGCCTGCACCTGTGGCTCCAGCCACTTGGAAAGCTGAGGCGGAAGGATTGCCTGAGAGCCCAAAAGGTTGAAGCTGCAGTAGCTGTGAGTGTGCAACTGCACTCCAGCCTGTGTGACAGAGTAAGACTCTGACTCAAAAAAAAAAAGATATCCCAATCCCCGCGAGATATTTATGTGAAGATATTTATTTCCTATTATAAATAGATAATTTTGTCATTCTCTCTCTTAAAAAATGCTTCTATTAATGATCATCATCCATTTTGACATCAAGTCATTATATATTTGTTTTCTCTCATCAGATTATAAGTTCATTGAAAGCAAAGAGGAAGTCTGATTCAACTTTAAGACCTTAGTACCTAATATAGGTCTGCTACATAGTAGATATAAAAGTTAGTTAAATCTGAATCATTCTCTAAATAAATACATAAATAAATAAATCTGAACCATTCTCTAGAGCGCTAGCTCATGGGCCCTTTCTAGATGCTGTGTATATTTGGGTAACTAAATGCTCTGGACTAATTTCTGCCTATTTTCTTTTTCTTCTCCATAGCACACTGAAGAAGACTTCAAGGGAAGGTTCAAAGCTCGACCAGAACTGGAAGAACTGTTAGCCAAGTTGAACTAGCAATTGTAGACCCTGTCGTGCCAGCACTGGTCATACTGAGTGCAAAGAAGAAGTTTCCTGGTTGATCAGAATAAAGCAGGAAATTCTGACCCTTAGATTTCATAGGTACCCATTACCACAGCCAGGAATGCCTTCTCTACTCTGTGACATGGCTGTGCTTGCCAGTTGTTACCACTTACCTGCGAGCAACCCTAGTTATCTTCTATCTAATAAAAATCTGCTACTACTGCTGGTATGTGTGTGTGTGTGTGTGTGTGTGTATGAATGAAACTAACCCACCCTGTTAAGTATATTAACTAAGAAGTTCTATTTTCTCTTTGCCAGGTGCTTTAGCATAGAAGTATGTTCCCTCTCCATATTTCTCCAACTAGAGCAAATTCATCCTTTAAAGCAATTTGGGCTGGGTACGGTGGCTCACACCTCTAATTTCAGCACTTTGGGAGACTTAGATGGGAGGATTGCTTGAACCCCGGAGTTTGGGGTCAGCCTGGGCAACTTAGTAAGACATTGTTTCTATAAAAATAAAAGTAAAAAATTAGCTGGGTGTGGTGGCACATGTCTATAATCCCAGCTACTGGGAAGGCTTAAGTGGGAGGATTGCTTGGGCCCAGGAGTTTGAGGTCGCAGTAAACTATGATTGCACCACTGCACTCCATCCTGGACAATAGAGTGAGACTGTCTCAAAAAATCAAAATAAATAAATAAATAAATAAAGCAAGCAAGTAAGCAATCTGGCATGGAGTCCTGTAATGAGCATAGGATCATAACATAGGTAAACTCTCTATGGGTAAAACTCATAGAGTGGGAGATTTTGGCTTTGTATGTGAAAAAACTCTCCAGATAGAATCAGGTTAGCCGGACTCGGTGGCTCAGCCTGTAATCCCGTGCTTTGGGAGGCTGAGGTGAGTGGATTGCCTGAGCCCGTGAGTTCGAGACCCGCCTGGGCAACTTGGCAAGACCTCATCTCTACAAAAAAAAAAAAAAATTAGCCGGGCGTGGTAGTGTGCGCCTGTAGTTCCAGCTACTTGGAAGCTGAGAGGCGGAAGGATCGCTGGAGCCCAGCAGGTCGAGGCTGCGGTGGCCGGGAGCGGCCACTGCACTTCAGTCTGGGCGACAGAGTGAGACTCCAACTCAAAAAAAAAAAAGAATCAGGTTTTGTCCAAAAGTGAAAGAAATTGCTTTGTGGGGTAGTGAGTGACTTATCATAAGTTTTCAGGTAGAGGTTATACAACTGCTGTAATCAAATTTACCTGGAATGAATTTGAGCAAATAATTGAAAGCTAATCTTGGTCAGGGGTCAGCAAACTACTGCCCATGTACCAAATCTCACCTACTGCCTATTTGTTTTTTAAAATAATTTATTGAAATGAAGTTCATATACCATAAGATTAAGCATTTTAAAATGAATAATTCAATAGCATTTAGTACCTTCACAGTGTTTTGCAATCACCACCTCTGTCTAGTTCTAAAACCCCATTCCCTGGCTTTTTTGGTTTGTTTGTTTATTTATTTGTTTTTGTGAGATGGGGTCTCTCTTTCGCCCAGGCTGGAGTACAGTGGCAAAATCCCAGCTCACTACAACCTCAACCTCCTGGGCTCAGGCAATCCTTCTGCCTCAGCTTCCCAAGTAGCTAGGACTACAATCCCAGGCCACCATACTTGGCTAATTTTTGTAGTTTTTGTAGAGACGAGGTCTCACTATGTTGCCTGGGCTGGTCTTGAACTCCTGGGCTCAAGCAATTCTCTTATCTCTGCCTCCCAAAGTGCTGGAATTATAGGTATGCGTTACCTCACCTGTCTCCTCTTCCCTGTTTTTATAAAGTCTTATTGGATCAAAGCCATGCTTATTTACATACTGTCTATGGTAGAGTTAAGTAGCTGCATATATATCTCCCCCATATCATACCCACAATGAACAATGTCACATGGGTCCCGTTTAGGAACCTGGAAAACACAGCAGTATTTTTTTTATTTTTTTTTTGAGTTGGAGTCTCACTCTGTCGCCCGTACGGGAGTGCAGTGCCTGCTCCCAGCCACCGCAGCCTCAACCTGCTGGGCTCCGGCGATCCTTCCGCCTCAGCCTTCCAAGTTGCTGGAACTACAGGCGTGCTACCACGCCCGGCTAATTTTATTTTATTTATTGTAGAGATGAGGTCTTGTCAAGTTGGCCAGGTGGGTCTCAAACCCGCGGACTCAGGCAATCCACTCACCTCAGCCTTACAATATTTTTTATTATGATATTGTGGGGTACAGTTAAGGGTTAGGTATACAAATATGCTTCGTTCAGGCACCCTTGTTGATAAAAGGTGTCTCCCCGAGGATTTCTTTCTTTCTTTTTTTTTTGAGTTGGAGTTTCACTCTGTCATCCAGACTGGAGTGCAGTGGCCGCTCCCGGCCACCGCAGCCTTGACCCACTGGGCTCCGGCGATCCTTCCACCTCAGCCTTCCAAGTAACTAGAATTACAGGTGCGCGCTACCACGCCTGGCTAATTTTTGATTTATTGTAGAGATGAGGTCTCGCCAAGCTGCCCAGGTGGGTCTCAAACCCGCGGGCTCAGGCAATCCACTCACCTCAGCCTCCCAAAGGCGCAAGATTACAGGCTGAGCCACCGAGCCCGGCTCTGATGATTTCTTAAGGTGACAAGATATTGGAGCTGAAGGACCGTAGGACCCAGCCAACCAAACTGTCTTTTTTAGCAAGTGCAGGTTAGGGGCTCATAGAGGACAGTGCCTTGCCCAAGGTCACAGGACATCTCACTGACAGAGAAGCAGCAGGATTCAGATCTCTTGATTCCCAGTCCATTCCTTTTTATTACATCCTTGAGGGATGAGTCAGGCTTATTTGTTACACAGGAGGCAGCTTGATTCTGTCACCTTGGAATTCTTGTGTCACTGACCTACTTGATGATTTATCCTCTCACCAGTGTCAGACACCTTGTGTTGCTTATGATTGGTTTGCCCTGAGACAATTGGAATTTGTTCTTAATGCCTTATCCTGGTAAGAGGTACTGGAGATATTCTGATTGCTAGAACCTCAGGGTTACAAAAACAATTAGGAGCTTCGTTTGACTCTTCTGGAGTGAGGCCCAGAGGGAAATGAATATTCTAAGGATCACATGGTAGTGAAACCAAATGGAATACAAGTCTCCTGGCTTCGGGTTGAAAATACTTTCCCCTCCTTCCCTGAGACAACTGATTGCATGGAAAAGAGGCAGACAAACCTGGGTTGTGCCTGATTCTACATTTGTTAGTTTTGAGGCTTCTGCTGAGTTATTTTAACCTCAGTGAACTTCAGATTTCTGATCTGTAAAATGGGGATAATCCCTTTTTTAGAGGTTTGAGATGGAGATAATGTATATAGCAGGCTGGCAGTTGCTCAGTAAATGTTAGATTTTCTTCCCTTCTAACTTCTTCAGTATGTTTTATTAAAATATTTTTTTCCCACTGAGGTATAATTTATATATAGTGAAACACAGATTTTAAGTGTACATTTCATCAATCTTGAAAATGCATCTACCCATGAAACCCATACTTCCCATCAAGGTAAAGAACATTTCCATCACTGCAGAAATTTCCCTTATATTCTTTCACAGTCATTCTCCCCCAGAAGCAACTGTTAATCTCAATTCTACGGCCATAATTAGTTTTTCCTATCTAGTACTACATATAAATGAAATACAGTACTCTTGTATCTGATTTAATTCATTTACCATAATGTTTTATCCATTGTGTTGCATATATTGGTTCATTCCTTCAGCATACTTAAGTTTTGAATGCCTCAGTTAGGGTTAATCTATTCCTTATGCTGTGAAATCACTAAGGATAGACAGGAGGGAAAGAGGGAATGTCAATGGACTAGGAATCAGATTAGATGTGATAAACTATTTTGGTCTTCATTTTACAGATGTATTAACTGGCCTAGGGAAGGAAACAGACTTGTCCATGTTCTTCTTGTTAGTCATTGGCAGAGCCAGGGATAGTTCAAGGTCACTGGTTGAGTGCGTATTACTGAGATTTTTTTTAAAAGGATTTTTATGTAGATCAGTAACTTTCAAGAAGGACAGAATGCCTGAGTAAAATGGGCAGTTTTCCTAGTTAAGGTCAGCAGATCCCTCAGCTTCGTGTTTTAGTCTCTTTCCTCTGGTTGAGGATGCCTTGTTCCTCCACCATGGAAGCCTGAGAATGGCCAGCTGTGGATACTGAAAAGGTATGTTTTAGTCACAGAGAAATAAATGAAATCCGGGTATTTTGGGCATTTGGATACTAGCAATGTGAGACCCCTGGGTCTCCTATGTTTCTAGTTTACTTAAGGAAGGAAAGTTTTCTGAGCATGCATTGGACACAACTAAAACTAGACCCGCTGGGGAAACATTGCAGACATAGGTGGCCAGTGTGTCTGGTGCTAATTTAATGTGTGTTTTGATCTCTTTGTGATGTTTTTGTCTTCACATTTTGTTTTCCAAGCAGATTCCTGCAGAATCTGAAATAATTCATTTGGCTGTTATAATCTCCCTGAAATAACTTTTATTCTCAGACATTTCAGCTCATTTTAGGGAATCAGCTTACCATTAAGACAGAATGTCCAGGCTCTGAAGAATGAAAACTCTCCAAAAGATAGCTGCTGAGAAGAGAAGGATCCCTCCCACTTCCTCTGCCTGCTTAAAGTCCTTGCTGGTGCAGAGAAGAGAGCCCCAGCATTCGCCACTGAAGGAAAGTATAAGGTTTCAATCTGGACTCACTTTAGTTCTCTTTGGATTTCTAAAGTCAGCAGCCCAAGGACTTAGTCTGGCAACTTTACCTGAGGGAGGTTGGGAGGGGTATCTTCTTACTCATCTTGTAAAACACATTACAGTGCACCTTTGTACTGAGCACATGGCCAAGTCCCACGCCAAGGACCTTGCAGGGAATAACTAAACCATGAATTTGCCCTAGGCCTAGCCAAGAGAGGCACTCAGCCAAAAGGTCTCTCCACTCATTCCTGGTACCATGTCTCTGCAGCGACAACCTAAAGCTGCCAGAAGTCGGTGTAGATTATACAGGGACAGGCATGGGCCACCTTAAAAGTCCAGCTCCTTGGCTGTGAGCTGCAGTGCTTGGAGACTAAAGAAAAGCATATCGAGCTGGGCTCGGTGGCTCAGCCTGTAATCCTGCGCCTTTGGGAGGCTGAGGTGAGTGAATTGCCTGAGCCCATGGGTTCGAGACCCGCCTGGACAGGCGAGACCTCATCTCTACAATAAATC